AGAGGAAGGGAGAGAGAGAAACATCGATGTCAGAGTGATACATTGACCAGCTGCAATCTGGGCATGTGCCTTGACCGGGAATCGAATCGGGAACTCTCAGTCCATGGGGCAACACTCTATACACTGAGCCACACCAGCCGGGTGTGGACAGATGGACGGACATTTTTAAAAATTAAATTAATTTCCCTGGCCAGTGTGACTCAGCAGTTATAGCATCGGTCCATGGACCAATGAGTCGTGGGTTTAATTCTGGTCAAGGGCACGTACCTTGGTTGCAGTTTGTCCACGGCCCTGGTTGGGGTCGTGCAGGAAGCAGCCAGTTGACGTGTCTCTCTCACATCAATGTTTCTCTCTCTCCCTCCCTCCCACTCTATCTGATGATAAATGGAAAAATATCCTCGGGTGAGGATTAAAAAATTTAATTTATTGAGGTAACATTAGTTAATAACATTATATAAATTTCAGATGTACAACTTTAAAATACAGCATCTGTATACATTCTATTATGTGCTCACCACCCAAAGACTAGTCTCCAGGAAAGGACATTCTTAGAGAAAAGATTCTGATTGGCACGGCTTGGGTCACAATATTGACCAAGGGGTGGCATGCTCTGATTGGCAGCCCCCTACCAAGGAGAATCATCTATTTGGGTATAGGGGAAAATGATTTTTCAAAAGCAGAAAATGCCCTGATCTTTTCTCTCCCTCAATATGTATTTCAAACTGTACCACAAGGTCCTAATTCCTGTCATTCCTGTGCTTCCTACAACGAGCAGTGAATTCTCCTTTTGCCTACGCTAGTTAGAGATGGGTGCTATCACTTGCAAAAGAGTACTGATTAATACCTTATGCTTTACTGCCAAGCCTCTTTTAATTGCAGTCTAAAGTACTATAATACTTTATGTTTTAAAAGAGGTCTTATACTTTTGATGGCCCACCCCTAAAGATGAAACAGCTTTCCATGTCTTAAAGTATAATTTCTTCTTCTTTTTTGTAAATCCTCTCCTGAGAACATTTTCACTGATTTTCAGAGAGAGTGGAAGGGGTGGGGGGAGAGAGCAATGTGAGAGAGAAACATCAATTGGTATCTCCTGTACCCATCCCAACTGGGAATCAAACCCAAAACCCAAGTATGTGCCCTAACCAGAAATCAAACCCAAAACCTTTAGGTGTATGGACAATGCTCCAACAAATTGAGCCATACTGGCCAGGGAAAAGTATAATTTCTTTAAAAAAAAAAGTCTTGGCCCAAAACAAGGTGTTTTCTTAGGGGCTGGTTGTTTTTATTGATCAATTTCACAGGTTGTCACCCACATGTAGCAAAACCACACTCTGAGAAAGACCCAACTTCTAGTTTATTCCAAGTATTACAACCTGTCAAACACAGATGTTATAAAAATTTAGATAATTCAAGCTACAGTTAGCACACCTAGAGAATCCTTCAAATCTACTTTTATGTAGTGAGGACCTGAATTTAAGAGTGTTGTCTGGCCGGTGTGACTCACTGGTTAAGCTTTAACCCATGCACCAAGAGGTCGCCAGTTCGATTCCTGCTCAGGACCCATGCCCACGTGGGCCTGATCCCCAGTGGGGAGCATGCAGGAGGCAGCCAATCGATGTTCTCTCTCATCAATGTTTCTATCTCTCTCTCCCTCTCATTTCCTCTCTCTCTAAAATCCATAAAGGAAAAAAAATTTAAGAGTGTTTCTCTGGCTCCAGATCAACAAAATTATCTCTGCTCACCCAATAATTTCACTTCTAGAAATCTACCTAAGGAAACAATCAGAAACCTGGACCAAAAGTTGGGTGAAAAGTTGTTCATCAAAGCATTATTTATCACTAGAAAAACCTAAATTTTCAACAGAATGGTAAAATAAATCGCATAGAATGGAACTCTAAGGAGCCATTATATATATTTTTAAAACCTTAAATATGCCCTGGCCAGTTTGGCTCAGCAGTTAAGAGCATCGGTGCGTGGACCAATGAGTCGCGGGTTCGATTCTGGTCAAGGGTATGTACCTCAGTTGCACTTTGTCCCCAGCCCTGGCCAGGGTCATGCGGGAGGCAACCACTCGATGTGTCCCTCTCACGTCAATGTTTCTCTCTCTCTCTCCCTCTCTCTCCCACCCTCCCACTGTATCTGAAGATAAATGAAAAAATATCCTCGGATGAGGATTAAAAAAAAAATTAGAAACTAATATTTAATGACATTGAAAAATACACAATAATAGCTACGACATGAATGAAACCTAGGTGCTCAACAGATAAATGGATAAAGAAGTGGCTATGTATATATGTGTGTATATATGTGTGTGCAACTCATCAGAATGGAAGCCAAGTACAAACAACAAAAATGGCCATCTGGTTTCTCTTTGCCTTTGTGGTGTAACAAATCACCCCAAAATTTAATGGCATAAAACAACCATTTTTTTGGTTTAAGATTCTGTTGGTTGATAACATGGGCTAGGATCAGCTAGGTGGTTCTTCTCCGGGTCTTGACAAAGATCACTGGTGTGCCTGCAATAACCTGGCAGCCCAACTGGGAATGGATGGTCCAAGACAGCCTTACTCATCTGGCAGTTGATGCTAGTTGTCAGCTGGGCCCCTCCCTTCATGAGCTCTTTCATCCTCAAGGAGGCCCCCTCAAGCTCCTCATATGGTGGCCGCAGTGTTCACCTAAGGTATAAGCAGAAGCTTTAAGATCTCTTGAGGTCTTGCTTAGAATTTGTACACCACCACTTCTACTGCATTCTATTAGTCATAGCAAGTAACAAAGCTAGTCCAGGTTCAAGGAGTGGGGAAACAGACTCTACTTCTTGATGGAAGGAGCTGCAATAAATTTGTGGCCATTTTTAATTCACTACACTATATATTCCAACTAAATATCAGCTGTGCATGAATATGTACATAGAAAAAGACTGGAAGGAAACCAACACATATTGTTTTCATTATCTTTTTGTATTTCTGCAACTTCTCTAATTTTCTTAATCAATATGCATTACTTTAATAAACAGAAAAATAAGTACCACAACTTTCGTAATAGTTTAACAGGCATGTTGAACAGCTTCACTTTGGCACCCAAATCAACAAAATTCCTTCCTTCCACTTCCTAGCTCTGACAATTTTGTAACTCCTCTGAACCTCCCCTTTTTTCAATTGTTCAGATGGAGCTAACATTACACATTTTACAAAGCTTGCAAGGATGAATTGATACAATGAATGTAAAACACCCAGGACATGCTATGGTATTTCCCTTCCTCCTACTCTTCCCCCACTCAAACCTAGTTACTGGAATTCTTCCACGTAAAGTTTAATTCTGTTGTAGTAAACTACACACAAATCTCTAAAAGTAAACTGTATACCCTCAGTGCTGGTTTCAAAACTTAGTCCTCCTTTATAACTCCCAAGTACCTAGCACAAGACCCAATAAATATTTGTTGATTTGTTGACTCATTAACAAAATTAAAGTTTGCCAAATGCTAGGCAGTTAATTCCTTCTTTATGAAGTTTTAAATATATACATTCCAGTATCAAGAGGGGATAATGTTGGTCATCCATTGCATCTATTTATTTATGACAATGGAAAAGCCTAGTTAAGTCACAGCCATGAAGAAAATTCAAACTTCTTAGGGTTCTAAGCTTCTATGTGCACAATCACAACCATAATGAGTTTTTTTTAGTCATCTGTTTTCAGGACAGGTTCTTCTTGTCATAATGACAAAGCAAAACATAAGAGCATGAAAAGTTGGAAAAACAAAATAAATAGAAAAAATATTATAATGCACTTTAATGAAACAATCCATTTCTGAAAAACTAAGCAACCCAAATCAAAAATGCCTTGTTTTTGCTTCAACTAGGCAGTTATCATTCTGGCCAGGTCATGGAGGCCAAATTTACAGTTATCAGTAAATTTGTAACAAGCTCTCCCAACTCTTCCTGCATGTCTGACCAAAACAGTGGAGGGAAGAGCCTAGGAAGGTCATCCACATGTCATGGTGTCCAGAAGGACACTACCTGTAGTAGCTTAGGCAATTGAGAATTAATGGCATTTTTTAAAGATCATTGAGAAAGCCATTTCATAAACTCCCACTGTGACTCACTATGACGACATCTCCAGAAGGTTCTCGTAACCCAGAGCCTACTTTTACTTTCTCTTCTACATATGGAATATTCCTAGAAAAGGCAGAAATCACTTGTTGAATGTTTGGGGGGGGGGCATTTGGTGATAGTTCAACCTCTCATTTTACAGACTGAAAACACTATAGGTACCTTTTATGATTTCTCTTGGACTCATCCAGAAACCCAGGCAGGGCAGCTGAAGTAAGACCCTCAGGAGGGTCTGTCTAGGAAGGCAGGCTCTAAAAGAAAACTCTATCCGCAAAAGGCTTGAGTACTTGTCCCACTGGGTATAATCCAGGAATAGCTATATATTCTAATCCAACTGTTCTCAATCATTTTGCTCTCAGGACATTTAAAAATTATTGAATGCAAAAGTGCTTATCTCCGAAGATTTTAGAAAACATAAGAATACACAAGCACACATTCCTTTAGTCACCAGAGCAATGATGTCATCACACATCCTGTAAATGTATAATTATTTCAAAATAAAAAATAATTTAAAGGAAAAAAAGAAGCACAGAAGATGGAGCAATTAGATTACGACAACCCTCAGGAGCAATGGGATTCAGAAGATAGTCAGATGACATCAATATACTGAAAGAAAATAACTTCCAACCACAAATTCTATAAGCAGTGAAATAAATCCTCAAGAATGTTAAGATGAATTAAAGACATATTTATACCAGCAAAACAGAAAATTTTACAAAAGTAGACCTTCACTAAAGGAAACTATAAAGAGTGTACCTCAGTCAGGAGTGTTCCCACAAGGAAGATCAAAGATTTAAGAAAGGAAAAAAGTATAAAAGAAAACATTCTGTTAACTCTAAAAATTACAAGTACTGTACAGGAGGAAAAAATTACTGAGAAATCCACCTAGCTTACCTTAGGAAATTCTAGAAAACAGAACAGACAAGCTCGCATTCCTTTAGTCACCTGAGCGATGACCTCATCACACATCAGGCTGCCTCCGGAAATTCTAGGGAGATTTGAAAAAGCAATGACGTCTTACTATTATTATGAAACTAGTTTTGACACAGACTCCCTGAAAAGATCTTGGAACCCAGAGTCCCCCAGACCACAGTTTTAGAACCACTGCTCTAATCCCCCATTGCTCAAGGCCAGGTTTCCTGAGTTTCCTTCCCTGACGGGCCAAGGAAGAAACAGCAAAGTCACTCGCTGGTCAGGGGCCACAAGGGGAACCCCTCTTCCTTTTGTACAGATGACGGGACCCCTAGGCTCTGAGGTCCGGCTTCTGGGAAGACTCCGCAAGCCGCCGCTGGAGGGCGCCGCTAGAGAACTGGCAGCGCGCTTCGCCCCGCGCCGGCGCCCGAGGGGTTCACACGGCGCCGGAAGAGAGGGCGGCGCCCGGAAGAGGGGGGGGGGCGGTCGCAAGCCTCATTGGACGAGGAGCTGCCGCCTCACGGCCCGGGGCGGTGCTTCTTCGCGCTGAAAAGCCAGTTGACTGCGGCCCGAGCGGCAGTTCCCAGCCTGATCTGCATCTGGTTACGTCTTTCTGTCGCTCACCGAGGTTCCCCGGGTCATGGTGCCAGCCTGACTGAGAAGAGGACGCTCCCGGGAAACGAATGAAGAACCACTTTCTCCTGTTGTTCAAGTACAGAGGCCTAGTCCGCAAAGGAAAGAAAAGCAAAAGACGAAAATGGCTAACTTCATAATCCGCCCGGCCACCGCCGCCGACTGCAGTGACATCCTGAGACTGATCAAGGTTAGCGGAAGGCGCTGGCTTGTCCTGGGGCAGGGCGCGATGTGGGAGCGGGCGGCTGCGTTCCCGGCCATGTTTTGGTCTCAGGCCGGTTCCCCTTCCACCCCCCCCCCACGCCCCCGCCGGGCCAGGGCTCTGGGTGGGACTCCCCGAATGAATCACCACACTGCCCCACCCCTACCCCTCATTCACTGTGGGCTGGCTGGGCCTGGGCCTCACTCAGTTTTCTGCATCTTTCCCTTTCTCCTATGTGCATCGCCTTAGGAACTGGCTAAATATGAATACATGGAAGAACAAGTAATAATAACTGAAAAAGGTAACGTAACAGTGGTGGGGCGGGGGTGGGGGGTGGGAGGGTGCGTCGAGTGCCAGTCACCTTCATGGAGGCCAACACTGTCTGTCCCCGCTGCGCTTTCTTGCAGATCTGCTGGAAGACGGTTTTGGAGAGCATCCCTTCTACCACTGCCTGGTGGCAGAAGTATCTAAGGAGCACATCACTCAGGAAGGTAATCCCGTTCCAGAAGCCAGAGAGATCTAGTGTTGTGTAAACCTAGTGTCTGCCATGTAGATACAATGACAACACAGGCTTGAGTTACTAAGTGGCCAGAAATAATAGCCAGCCAGTATTCAAACTAATAAGGAAATAAAATAGATGTACTACACTTATTAAGGCAGGTTAAAAGAGCTGTTTAAGTAAGTAGCAGAGTGCCTTGGAGTCCCGGAAGTACTTGAGCTGTTTACAAGTAAGTATCAGAGTGCTGTGGAGACCCGAAAGACTTAGGTATGTCATTTGCTGTAATTCAGTTTCATAATTGGTTCTTGTTTGACCCTATCGTAACCTTTTTTTTGTAATTCTGTTAAATCACGTTTTTTTCTTAATTTGTCCCAATCTTCAGGTTACAGTCTCTAGCTTCGCCATGTACATGGCCCTTCCGTGTACATGGATGGGCGGGGAGGTAACTAAAAGATCCTTTACACAATAAAGTAGATGATCATGATAAAAATGAGGTAAGGCCCTATTATCACACACTTAAAACACGGTAGATCAGAAACTCTATTCTCACTTCCTGTGTTCTCAAAGGACTAGAAAATGGCAAGAAAGTTTAATTTGAAACTTTTGCCTCCATTTGGAATTATAGACACCCCATAAAAGGGAGTCTGATTTTTTTTTTTTTTTTTTTTTGCTGGTCCCTATTAACTAGTCAGAAGACAGAACTAAAAGGGGAAGTTGTTTGGGTAGGTGCTTAAGTTTTTCCGTTTATTTTTCTGAAGTCTGGTCCCCAAGCTAGAAGAAATGAGCAGAAAACATAAGGGATGAGGTACTTTTTTAGAGATATATGGATGTTACATAATACCTGTTTCTGGATACCTCTGCTTCTTCTGGCTTAAAAACTGGGGAAAACAAATTGAAAATATTTTAATTGGAAGGCAAGTTATGAAATTAAATGTTGCACTTTTGGCCTAACGTCCTGATTTTAAGGAAGTAGAGTTTCTAAACTACAAATATGTACTATTCTGAACTGCCGTGTAAGTCTTATTCCCAAGTCACCATACCAGTATATCAATAGGATGTGAATAATGTGTAGCTTTAGTTTAATACTATAGCAGTTTTGCTCTGGCAAGTAATGAAAGCATTCTTGATAATATATGCATATATATTTTTTTACATACATATATATATATACATATGTGTGTGTGTGTATGTATATATATATATTTTAAATCCTCACCCGAGGATACGTTTTCATTGGTTTTTTTAGAGAGAGGGGAAGGGAGAGGGAGAGACAGAAACATAGATTGGCTGCCTCTGCATGTACCCCGACTGGGGACCCAACCCAAAACTCAGGCATGTGCCTTGACCAGGAATCAAACCCATGACCTTTCTGTGTACAGGACGACACTCCAACCAACAGAGCCACACTGGCCAGGGCTGCATGTATATTTTTGTAAGACTTATGATAGGCTTCGGATTTTGCAACTACAACTTTTATGAGACCATTTCATCCATAGCTCATATGATACTCTGATTACAGGACACAGCGTCGTTGGTTTCGCCATGTACTATTTTACCTACGACCCATGGATTGGAAAACTCTTGTATCTTGAGGACTTCTTCGTAATGAGTGATTTCAGAGGTATGGTTGAATTCAGAAGTGTGGCTCTAAAGAGAAATCAGGGCTTGAAATCCTTCAAGTGTCATTTTTAAAATGGTACTTCTCTTTCTCTTAGGTTTTGGGATAGGATCGGAAATTCTGAAGAATCTAAGCCAGGTACGTCTTGGGTATTGATTTCTGAACTTGTAAGGGTTACTAGATTATTTTAATGACTGAATCAAAACTGGGTCCTGGAAAGCAGATGAAATGTCACTTAGTTTGTGTTTTACTCTCCCTTATATGTAACAGGTTGCGATGAAATGTCGCTGCAGCAGCATGCACTTCCTGGTAGCAGAATGGAATAAACCATCTATCAACTTCTACAAAAAAAGAGGTGCTTCTGATCTGTCCAGCGAGGAGGGATGGAGACTCTTCAAGATCGACAAAGAGTACTTGCTGAAAATGGCAGCAGAGGAGTGAGGAGTGCTGGTGCATACTACACCTTCCATTGTATTTTAGAAAAAATTCTCCACTTACCTTCTTTCTATCATGTTTGTAGTGAAATAAGAGAATGAGCACCCATTCCAAAGCTTTATTACCAGTGGCGTTGTTGCATGTTTGAAATGTTGTCTCTTTAGGATGGCAATGCAGTTTGGAGTCAGATTTATCCTTGAACATCTTTTGAAAACACAATAGGGTGGTGTAATCTTAATGTATATGAAAAACTTCATTCTTGTGAGTCATTTAAATGTGTACAATGTACACACTGGTACTTAGAGTTTCTGTTTTGATCCTTTTTTAATAAACTACCCTTTGATTTCATTGTTTGGTGTAAGCGTTTTTACTAATCCTTTATTTCCTAAGATAGTTTTCTTGCTGTTGAGTGTAAAATAAAAATGGCCAAGAAACATAGCCTAAAACTTTGTAATTGTTTAAACAAATCTGGAAAGAAGCCAGTTGAATGAACTCCAAGGTTTTATATGTAGTAACACCTATAAGATAACTTTATATTGATGGCATTGTACATTTCACCTGTAGAATTTTCCGAAGCTTAGAAACTGACGCCCACCATAAATAAGCCTATATGTTACACAAATAAGAGTCAGAGGTGGGATTCTGAAACACTGGGAAGAAAACTTCTTGCCCATAACAATCTCATCCTACATATAAAATGCTATTCAGAAGGAAAGGGGGATCACTTTGTTAATTAGGCAGGAACAAAAAAGTGCAAAATTTTTACAGGACATTTGCAAACAGACTGGAGTTGGACACAGGTACTAATAAGGGAAATTAGCAATAATTTGGGGGGCAGTTTGTTAAAACAATGGGCTCCTAGGACTAGTGTTTAAAATCACCCAGGGGAAGAGTAAAAGCTTTCTCCAGGACTGAAAATGAAACTCAGAAGGGGCGTGGGGAAGAAACTATTTTAGACAAGTGAACTCATTTTTTATTTTTTGGTTAATCCTCACCCAAGGATATTTTTCCATCGATTTTTAAGTAGAGTGGAAGGGAAGGAGGGAGAGAGAGAAACATCAATGTGCAAGAGACACATTCATTGGTTGCCTCCTATATGACCTGGACCGGGGCTCAGGATAGAACCTGCAACTCAAGTACATGCCCTTGACTGGGAATCAAACCCGAGACCATTCGGGTCCATGGACGACACTCTTAACTGCTAAGCCAAACTGGCCAGGGCTGAACTCCTTTTATTACTCATTACACTGACCTAAATTCCTAAACCCACTAATGACCACAATAAAGAAAATGGTAGTTGATAAGATCAATTGTACTGATTTCCAAGATTAATGTTTTCCCAAAGAAGTTGACAGATACCTGAAAAACGATATTCCCTTTCTTCTTTCTGTGTTCTCTAGGAATACTGGGCTCCTCAGTGGAAGGGTAATTTTGCCCTGCATCCCTTTGTTTCAGTGTCTGTTACAGCTTCTTGAATCAGAAGGCAGCCATATAAACAAGTGTGATCCTGTACTGGATTTGATACAGGGGAGATTTGGGGTGCCTTGGTGGCTCCGCATGCCACCAAAACAGGCTTACAGAGTATATTCACAACCAGGGTCCTGCTAAGTGGCAAGTAACTACAGGAGAGACACTGGCTAGCTAACAAAAAGGGTTAACTGAACACAAGGAGCCTATGGGGAAAGAAAATATTTTGAAAATTGTGTTTTGGAAAGTGGGCCTCTTTGAGGAAAACAACTACATGCTGACTGTGGTTAAGTATGTGAATAAATTAGATTAACCAGGCGACTTACAATAATAACTCTTTGTTTTCTCATTCTTCTTAGAGCTTAACCCTAAAGCCCAGTGTTGTCACCACAAAACCTTTTAGGAAGTGTTTGTGTCCATTTTAAAGAAGTCCCTTAAGTTTAATATTAGAAACTGAAACACCACAGCTCACTAAACGTTCATCTCAATCACAGACACCTCTTTAAAAACGGAACTATGAAACAAATCTGTAGAGTTTGAAAGTCACCGGGCAAGTAAGAAAACAAGTTCTGGGGAAATGATATGAAAGGAAGCATTAGACAGTGATAAGCCTGGAAAAGGAGAAAAGTTCATGTAAGCAACACCTCTGTAAAGATAACTTTAAAATGACTATTTTACTAAAATAAACATTTGGGAAGAATGGTATTTCAGGCCTAAGGACTTGCCAATTATTTTGGAGTTTTCTCTGTTTTGTTTTGTTTTTTAATAACTGTTTTTGCTAAGCTTATTCTACCCCTTAAAAAACTTATAATGCCCTGGCCGGTTTGGCTCAGCGGCCTGTGGTCTGGAGAGACCCGGGTTCGGTTCCCGCTAAGGGCATGTACCTCGGTTGCAGTTTGTCCCCGGCCCTGGTTGGGTCGTGTGGGTGGCAGCCACTCGATGTGTCCCTTTCATGTCGAAGCTTCTCTCTCTCTCTCTTCCTCCCACTCTATCTCAACAAAATGTTGAAAAATGTCCTCTGGTGAGGATTAAAAAAAAAAAAAACTTATAAAATCAGGGGTGGGAGGTTACTGGATGAAAGAAGATGAAGGAATTAGCCAAAGAACATATATGCATAACCCATAGACACAGATAACAGTGTGGTGATGGCCACAGGGAAGGGGGGGGACAGGGGTTGGGTGGAGGGATGGGACATCTGTAATAGTATCAACAATAAAAATAAAACTGACAAAAAAACCTTACAAAATCAAAATTTCTGATACAGTTCCCCACTTATCCACAGAGGATACTTCCAAGACTCCCAATGTATGCCTGAAACCACGGACTGCACCGGACCCTAAATATACTATGTTTTTTCCTACACATACACTTTTCTATGATAAAGTTTAATTTCTAAATCAGGCACAGTAAGAGACTAACAACAATAACTAATAATAAAATGGAACAATTTTAATAATATACTGTAATAAAATTTATGTGAATGTGACTACAGTTTCTGTCTCGCTCTCAGAATTTCCTACTGTACTGTACTCACCTTTTGCACTTAAAGAGGGCACTTTACGGCCCTGGCCGGTTTGGCTCAGCGGTTAGAGCGTCGGCCTGAGGTCCTGAGAGACCCGGGTTCGGTTCCCACTAGGGGCGCGTGCCTCTGTTGCAGTTTGTCCCCGGCCCTGGTGGGTCGTGTGGGTGGCAGCCACTCGATGTGTCCCTTTCACATCGATGTTTCTCTCTCTCTCTCTGTTCCTCTCTCTCCCTCCCACTCTACCTGAACAAAGAATGGAAAAATGTCCTCGGTGAGGATAAAAAAATAAAAATTAAAAAAAAAAAGTTAAAAAAAAGCAAGCCCTGGCCGGTTTGGCTCAGCGGTTAGAGCGTCGACCTGCGGTCTGGAGAGACCCGGGTTCGGTTCCCGCTAAGGGCATGTACCTCGGTTGCAGTTTGTCCCCAGCCCTGGTCGGTTGTGCGGGTGGCAGCCATTCATGTGTTCCTTTCGCATCGATGTTTCTCTCTCTCTCTCTGTTCCTCTCTCTCCCTCCCACTCTACCTGAACAGAAAATGGAAAAATGTCCTCGGGTGAGGATAAAAAAAAAAAAAAAAAAAAAGAGGGCACTTTACGGCTTCTCTTCCTCCAAATTGCAGGCATCACTACTCTTGCACTTTGAGGCCATTAGTAAGTAAAATAAGGGTGACTTGAACACAAGTGCTGCAATACTGAGACAGTCCATCTGATAACCCTGACAGCTACTAAATGACTGAAGGATAGGGACCGTCTATGGGGTGGAGATGTAGGACAAAGGGACACAGCGGGATTGTGCGAGGTTTCATTATGTTACTCAGAACTATGTCAATATAAAATGTATTGGTTGTGTATTTCTGGAATTTTCCATTTAATATTTTTAGACAGTGGTTGACTGTGTAACTGAAATGGTAGAGAGCAGAACCGTGGATAAGGGGGACTACTGTACTATTAAAATGGGAAGTAGCTGGGTTTGTCCGCAAATAGGCTTGTGATATCCTGCTAGAGATCTGACTAAAGGTCCACAGCCTGTCACTGTCCCAGTCATAGCCTGAGATCATCAACTGCTTAGATTTCACTGGACAGCCTTTCTAAGAAAAGAAAGTAGAGTGTTTTTCACAGAAATGCAGAAGCAACAACTCAGAAGAAACCTAATGATTTATGAATGCCATACAGCACATTGTACCTATCTTGTGAGTCCCCAGCAGGGCCTAGATGGATGGCTCCTTGAGGCAAGTGGCTGCTCAGTAGCAACTGACAGAGCTGGCCATGCCCTGGGAAACCATTGACCACCCGCCTGACTGTGGCAGGCCTGGCCTCCTGTTCAGGGTCTGCAGGTAACCATGTCCACTCCAAGGAGTCTATCTGTTTGCTTGACTTGCCTCATCTTTGTTTCCTTGCTTCATCATTTCTTCCTGTGGATTGTCACCTCATGGTGACTTGTGCTTCATTCTCATCCCTTTGTGTCACAGTCTGGACTTCAAGCCAGTCAGTTATCCATAGCTCAAACTCACAGGCCTGTACCCTTACTGAACCCATCCCCGCCATCATTGTCTTTGTTGCCCCACCTATCAAAGGCCACCAAAGGCCCTTCTTCTTTTTTTTTTTGGTACGTGCCCCTAGCGGGAACCGAACCCAGGACTCTATGGTCTGCAGGCCGACACTCCAACCGCTGAGCCAAACTGGCCAGGGCAAGGCCCTTCTTAATAATGTTTTTCCAGCATCCTATTCCCCATCACCTCTTTCTTTCTTGGGGCTCACATTAGCCCAGAAAATATTTTAGCAGCTTCCAGATAGTTATCAACATAATCGTTGATAATATATAAAAGCTAACATTTAGTAAGTGCTTACCAGGAACTAGGCATTATATTTAGCACTTTCTATATATTATTTTCTTTTTTTTTCTTCAGATAGAGCAGGAGAGAAGGGGGAAGAGAGAAAGAGAGAGAGAAACATCGATGTGAGAGAGACACATCGACTGGCTGCCACCCACATGACCCCAACCGGGAATGGGGACAAACTGCAAGCAAGGCACGTGCCCTTAGCGGGAACCGAACCCGGGTCTCTCTGGTCTGTGGGCCGACGCTCTAACCGCTGAGCCAAACCAGCCAGGGCTATATATTATTTTCTTACCTAGTTCTCACAAACATCCTGTGAAGTAGGTACTAGTACTAGCTTCTTTCATAATGAGAAACTAAACCTCTGAGAAGTGAAGTTGTCTATGGGCACACAACTAGGCCTGGGAATCAAACTCCAAACCAAATTTCTTGAACCCCTGGGCGTTCACTGCCATATTTTCAGAGAACTTCATATTTCCTATAAGAATGATTAAATTTGGTGTTCTTTTGGATTATACTCTAAAGAA